GGCAACCAACAACACTACCTGGCATTTTATTCAGCCGCGCCATTTCGCCGGCATTTTATTTCATTTTATTCAGCTGACATTTTATTTCATTCAAATCCGCGAAAACGCATCTTAAACGCGTTATCGGTACGTCTATTTTGACTTACGAAGAGATGGCAACAGTCTTAGCACAAACTGAGGCTTGTCTCAATTCGAGACCCCTCTCAAGACTAGACGCAGACCTTGACAACATTGACGAATTGACACCAGGGCATTTTTAATTGGAGAACCTTTAGTGATGGCCACAGATCATAATTATGAGACATCTAACGTAAGTTCAGGCGATGTCAATACACTCAACGCATGAGTCAAGAATTTTGGCGCAAATGGTCAAGAGAGTACTTAAATAAAATTTTTTTATAGATACCGATGGATTAAGGAGGACGGTCTCCCCCCGTGTCGTTGGCTTTATGGTAAAATAGTTGAAGAACATCCAGGTCAGGATGGAAGCTCGAGGGTGGTCACGGTTAAGTGCAAGAATTCTTTAATAAAGCGCCCCACAAATAAAATTTGTATTTTACCTGTAACCCAATAAAATTTTTATGTACTTTTTTTATTATTTGTTTAAAATGGCTATTGAAAATAGATTTTATTCTTTTTTTAGCCCAACGAATTTGTTTAGCTAAATATGCTTAAAAAACCTTAGTTGGTGGTTTGTTTAGTCATGGTGGGCGGATTTGTATATTTAAGGACAAAATTCAGTTTATCCTTGGTGGGCGGAAATGGTACAGTCTCAGACTCAAACCACATTATAGTTTGTAAATTTTTCGATAGATGGCGTTGCACATAGTTCAGTCGCGGTAATAAAGTTTGTTGTAAGATGCATATATCAGTGTACTATGTAAAATTAATTGTACCTTTGGAGTAACTTTTGGAATATACCGTTGGTGTACAAGGTTGCCTTTTTATTGACTTCCCTTGTAACACACCCTCGAATTCGACCTAGCCACCTACTGGGAGTTAAACAATTCCAAAGCCCCGAAACCTTTCAGCTCGAGTTACAAAACCGTTTTCAGTGCCTAGAAGACTGCAATGAAGTGGACGATATGAAAGACAAGCTCGTGGAAACTGTCCATGCGGTCGGAGCTAAGTTCTGCAAGACCCACCGCAGAAGAACACAAAAACTCTCCGATCACACTCTTAATCTCATGTTCGTTAGACGTTAGATGAAGCTACATTCTTCAACAGATTTGACAGCATACAGGCAACTGAACAGACAAATGCATGTGGCGGAACTTGCGCAACTTCAATACAGCTTGTATTGAAGAAGCGATCGAGCGGAACCTAGGCTCCAAAGTCTTTGCCAGAGATCTGTCTGCCAGAAAGAGCCAACTGTCAAAGATGAAGACAGAATGTGGCAGCATCGTTTCCGGGGCACCTGAGATTTTGAGTGAGATTGAGAGGTTCTATGGGCAGCTGTACACGTCATCGTTGGAGCCACACGCGAGTATGAGTAACGATCCAAAAGCGAGTCTTATAAGACACTATTCCGAAGATATCCCGGACGTCACTCTGAGAGAGATTAGAATGGCTCTCCAGCACCTTAAAAACGGCAAGTCCCCGGGCGAGGTTGGAATTACAGCGGAGCTTTTGAAAGCGGATGGAAAACCGGTACTTGAAGTCCATCAGAAGCTTTTTAATTCCGTCCTCCATGGTGGCACTACTCCGGAGGCGTGGAGCAGAAGTGCGGTGGTCTTGTTCTTCAAGAAAAGCGACAACGCTCTCTTGAAGAACTACAGACCGATTTTCCTTCTGAGCCGCGTCTACGTGCTGTTTTCGAGAGTCATTACCAATCGTCTCGCACGCAGAATTGACGACTTCCAGCCTCCCGAACAAGCCGGTTTCCGAAAAGGCTTTAGTACCATGGACCACATACATACCCTGCGGCAGATTGTACAGAAGACAGAGAAGTATAATCTGCCACTTTGCCTTGCGTATGTGAACTATGAGAAAGCCTTTGATTCCATCGAAATTTGGGCGGTGCTGCAGTCCCTTCAGTGGTGCCAAGTTGACTGTCGGTATATCGAAGTGCTGAAGTGTTTGTATGATCAATGACTTCAATGGTGTCTCCCAACGAATAGGTCTTAGGATGAACATGGAAAAAACAAAATCATGTTTAACGTCCATGTCACACCTAGTTGTTGGGAGCACTAAGCTCGAAGTTGTTGACGGGTATGTTTACCTGGGACAAATAGTCCGACTAGGTAAGTCCAACTTCGACTAAGAGGGCAATCAACGGATTCAACTCGGCTGGGCAGCGTTCGGGAAACTACGACACATCTCGTTAGACATACCTCAAAACCTGAAAACGAAATTGTACAACAAGTGCGTGTTGCCAGTGATGACTTACGGATCTGAGACATGTTCCTTCACTGCTGGCCGTATGAGAAAGCTCAAGGTCGCTCAGCGAGCTATGGAGAGGGCTATGCTCGAGGTGTCTCTGCGTGATAAACTTAGAAATGAGGATATCCGCAGTAGAAAGAGATTTTCTAATACGTTCTTTTTAATGAGTAAGTTAGTAGTTCTAGTATTTCTCTGACTTCCTTTAATTATTTCACCGTTACAAACTTTCTCTGTAACAAAAGATAAAGTTTAAAAATAAAATTTTAAAGCTCTTTAAGCTTGCTTTATAGTAAAAGAACAACAAGAAATAGACATGGCAAACGGAACACCGGCTAACAAAAGGAAATGCTTTGTAAAGATTTCACTGTAACACATTTTAAATAGATACGGAATTTAAATAAATAACGGATGGTTTATTGATTGATGATTTATTGAGATATAGAGAAAGCTATTGTTTATATATACTTTTATTGTTGTTGTATATGCACAATTTAACGATACTTTAATATGCATCAGTTTTAAGCATATATTAATATAATTACTTATGTCCTCCAAGACTAAATATCGGTTATGAAGAAGTCTCAACGGAGTCTGCCATCTACGCAGAAACAGGATTATAGTGCACGAAAATAAGATCATGGAGAAAGATCTGGCGCAGGACCAATTAAGTGTTTTGCGAGGGGGTGTGAAATACCACCAAATTCCTTATTTCTACTAAGAAATTCTTGATAGAAACACCTAATAATTAATTACTGCCCGACCTCCAACGTAGTCAAAGTTAAAGTCGATTTTTAAGCATAGGTAAAATAACAGGCCACAAGTCAATGACAAATAAATGATGTTTAGCATGCCTGTTTCAGCCACCCAAAAAGTATTGAGTACTACATAATATAAAAAAACATCGTCATCATCATCATTACAGCCCTTCACAAGTCCACTGCTGAAGATAGGCCTCCCCCAAGGAATGCCACAAAGCACGGTCTTGAGCCACCTGCATCCATCGACTTCCTTCATGAGGGTCGCCCTACACTTCGACTGCCGATACGAGGCTGCCACTTGAGAACCTTTTTCCCCCATCGGTTGTTGGTTCTTCGCGCTATATGGCTGGCCCAATGCCACTTCAACTTACTAATCCGTTGGGCTATGTCGGTCGCTCTGGTTCTACTGCGGATATCCTCATTTCTAAGTATATCACGCAGAGAAACAAAATTGTTGACTAATAATTAGTCTAAGATCTGAGTGAACAGCGCTTGGGGGGGGCGTGTTGCGTAGCAGCACGTTCTACGTAACATTGCAATAAAATAGCGTGTTTACTATGTACGCCGCTGTGCACGTTCCGTCTCGCTATATGCACGTCTGTACTGTCAGTGATCCTATAATGTAAATGGTGTGCTATCTTATACATGGTAGAGCCACGCTGCATCTATATTATGGTTGTAGCACGACCGGATCGCCACGGAAGGACCACGCTCTCACAGAATACCAGCGTGAAATAGCAGCTTAATGCTGCCGTGTTTCGGATGGTGAGTATAGAGAACCGTACTCTTCTTAATGAAAACTACACATTCCATCTGAATTGCCATCCCATCAGACTATCATAGTGAAGGACTGGATAGTGCACCTGTGGTTGCGCATATACTCTTACACTATAGTCATGTCATGTGTAGAGCCGCCGTGACCGAAATTCGTCTGAAGGATCTTTTTTTAATATAATGGATTGTAGAAAAAGGAGAATAAATAAAAGCCATTAAGTTTTCGATACCCGATATTTTTATTATTCGTCCATAACTTTGACAATGATTTATAGTAATAACAACTAATTAAATAGTTATCGAGTATCCAAACATACATTCAGTATTTGAATATCCACTGATTATCCTAGATATCATTATAGTAATCAATTTCTTATAATATGTATGTATGTAGAGCGGTAGTTATTAGACAGAGAGCCTGAACAAATTTTTTTTCTTTTTATTAAATTGACATCTTTAAAATCATCAACTCTATTCCCAGCCTAAAATATAAATTTTACTATTCAAACACTTACATATATCGAATTTGCCTTTCCCCCTTAAAGATAAGATTTATTTGAACATAAAGATTTGAAAAAACATTGATTGAAAACTATGAACAGTTTAACTACTATCAAATACATTTTAGTCTTGTATCTCTTAAAGTATTTTGCATCTCATACTCTTCAGGATTCAAATCAGTTTACCGTCTGTAGACTGTAAATAGAGAGACTCAAAAAATGTAAAAGACAAAACGTATAAAGGTGATACTATTCGTCTATATTCAAGATACAAAGATTAATTATTCTATGGACAATTCTAATACCAGCCGAGCCTGTGTAACGTCGTTTAAATATTATTTACACGATAACGGAACAAGTTATACAATGTAGGTCCATTTGATATAGATTGAATTAAAAGGAACAATTTTTTGCATTTTTTATCTCATTCGTAGGAAGGATAGAAGTATTTTATATAATCATATCACAGTACCGTAAAGTTATAAACATATATTTCTATAACTCAATTATAAATAGAGCGCCTATACAAAAATACAGTAACTGATCATAACCACAATTCAAGAATTTCCTAGCCTTATTTAGAAATTTAAACGACGTTCCTGAGCAATTCTTCTGAAGACAACATGCCATCCTGAAATGAATTAAAATGAATATTAATAATTGTGCAACAACTATAATATCGGTAATAATGTTAACTATAAACTTTTCTGCCTAGGAATCTGTTTAGGTGGATACTTAGGCTGCTGTTTTATTTATGCAATTATAATTGTTCTAACACTAAGATGCATGGAATGCATTTGTAAACGGGACATAAAAACTACAGACCTTTTCGAAGTTGGTCGTAGATATCTAAGGTCAACAGTGGTCACTCATTATCGGGTCAGCTATAAGCTTGTTCATCACTATAATTAAAAAGAAATGAAATATACTATCTACTATAGCAAGACTAACAGTATGCCAATGTTACAAACGTTTCACCGATTAAAAGTTTAGTTACTTGAAAAAAGTTATTATATGCATCCAGCTCTTCTTCCACAACCTGTAAAAGGCCACTGCTGGATTTGCTTTAATCGTCACGCTTGACAGGCGGATTAAATGCCGCGAAGAAAACACTGTCATATGTAGAAAGCCATAAGGTCTTTTTTGTCATATTATTATTACGAGTATATAGTCGCTTCTTACGGACACTTACGAGACAGCCTCTTGCCCATTTCCAAAAAAGGTACAATATTGCTGAGTAGTGTTGTCACAATTATTTTTTACATTCTTTTATCACTTTATTTTACCTACTTTAGTAGCAACATACACATATAATTTTTTTCTGTACATCTATGGCACAGTACCTATCTCTCTAATTATAGAAGTAAGGGAGAGCGAGGGGGGGCTCCTTTTATTAAAAAAAATACTACAAAAAACGGACAACAATTTTCCGTTTAATAAAATAATTAATAAAATATTTTTCCGAATATTGTACACAATAGAATAAAATATTTTAGTTTCAATGCCCATTACTTAACTTATCTAATTAGTTTAATGGACATATTACATTTCCACGTATGTTTTGCTATGATAATTATGCAAACAGCATCAAATGTGTCCCAACATAGATTATTAGTAACCAACAAAAGTTTTAACAATATTACATTCATTAAACTAAAACAGGCGGGTTGCCAACTCGGGTTGGCAACTATGGCAAATCCGCCTAAAATCCCCCATGACGCAGTATATGAGGGACATCTATGTTCAGCAGTGGACTTTTAATAGGCTGGAACGGTAACGGTAAACTCAAACAAATGGTGATATATTTCTGATTATTTGAGATTATAGTACCTGATTGAGATCAATGAATTTCCTGACGACAGATCGTGCAAATTCAGGGTTATTCAACATTTCGTTCACAAACCAGTCCAATGGGATGCTATAACAAATAAAAATATATTAATAATTCTAATATTTATTAAAATATCATTAATACTTATATGTATAATGAGAAGATACTAAAATTCAAGTGTCAATATTATTTTAGTTTCATTTCATCTCTACAAAGTTAACTTATTTAAAAATATATTTTAAGAATCTTTCTGAATAAGAAAAATAATTTAATGTAGTTTTTGTTTTGTTAAACGATCTCAAACATACAAAAGTTTGCTGATTTACTTAAAACTTTATTTACTGACTTTGATGCGCCATCTTTTACTTAACGTTACTATCCTATTTAAAAGTTAACAGCAGTAATTTTGTTTTTGCAAGACCTTAAATAATTTTCGACTAAGATGATAAAAGGTACGTTTTATAACAAAAGGTCCTAAAACTTTCAAAATTTTCAATTGGGAAAATTTCTACAAATAAATAATACCAAATTATTAGTACGAATATCAGTACAATATTTTTTATAAATTATTATCATTAAGGCTATGAACTATACCCTTATTTCATCTAATGTTTTAATTACTACTTAATTAATAACAAAATAGAAGAAATAAACGAAGTGCTATATTATTAAGTAATTAAATTTATATAAATGTATCCTCATGAACGCAGTTATATTACCTTTCAATGGCTTTTTCTTCATTAATATCTTGACTATCCTTTTCTGGAGTGTTCTCAAGTGAATCCCAGAAGTTGTCCAAGCCGAAAACTGCAATTTCAGTCAGTATTAGAAAGATTATAGCTATTTATATTAATCTTGTCCCGACATGTATTATGGTCACCACACAAATACCATTTCGCAATAATAGCACACGCACAAGACGTAATAAGCAGTGACAATTTTTGTAACAAAAATAAATCTAGAGGATTCGTAAGACATCGAAAGCAGTTTTACCTTCTAAGCACAATATAGTCATTGATTGTTCTTTTCGGTGGCTCGCAACACAAAAGCCACTCTACTTTATCTCAACTGTCTCATTCCTCCATTACAGTACAAATATGTGAAAGAAATGCATTATAACTCAAGCTTACATAATAACTTCATAAACGAAGCAAAAGACATACAGACATATATGTATATTGTATAGGTGAAACATTTCGTGTTTTGTGATAGTTGAATTCAGTGAAATGGACCTGTCGTGTTCGCTTATGTCACATAAGGGCAGTCCCTAGGGCCCTTTCGGTTAATATGTAATATATTAAATAAATACCAGTAAAATAAAATTCATCGAGGCTAGCTCGATACGAAGGCAAACATTGATAAAGAATCACCAATATAACGTATATGTTTTTCCTTTATATTGGAGTTGGATCATCTCACATAATCGGTTTACCTCGACCACAATCTTGAGTCTGATCTCTTTTCCCATAGCCCCTGGCGATAAGTATGTTTGAATTAGGCTTGAAAGTGCCCCTGGTGACCCTTATTTCCTCTTCTGTTCGAACGTTTGTTTATGTATATTATCAAATTAGCATTATTAAAGCATTCCAGAAATTAATGTAAATAAAAATTTCACACCAAATTTCATCTTGAATAGGTAACAAATAGCTACCGCGTGTTGAGTTTTACCAAGATGTAAGTTTTTAATATGGCGCCTACGATATATGTTGGATGTTATTAACTTTTACGACATTTACGGGTTCAAACTGCCCCCGTGCAAGAGATGGACGATTATTACTAAAAATAAAATCCTTTTACTTCCATTTACAATTACATTACAATAGCAAAAAATCCTTATTATTTTTGTTTTTAGTGTCACGTAGTGAACAGTTACAGACGGTGGCAGGGTACAGACCTCATGCCCGCAGGTCAAAGTGAAGTTTCAAATAAATTAAATTGGGAAATATGCAATATCGTCCTTATGAAGACAACACTCTAGTACTCAACTAAACGAGCGGGGAAGTTATGGATCTATTTAGAGAACTACATAATTATTAGAAGCTGTAATATAGTAAGAGAATAAAAATATTTAATATTTTAATGATGTGTTTTGTTGTCAAAATATAAGAGCTTATAAAGGCCTTAAATATTTTAAATAATATGCCTTATTCTATAAATATAACATATTATACTATAGTTTGTTTACGGATACAAATAAACAGGATAATGAGTATTCGCACGTAATTAGTTGCAGATAGTGGACTTAGAGCACATTCACGTTGCGACTTTCCATCAAAATGTCAGGCTAATCATTTTCTAGTGCGGATCTTAAGCCGTTTGGTGCTCCTTAGGGGTGTTCTCAGTTTTTGATTTTGCGTTAACCGTGCTTGCTCATTGGACAGTATACTATTTAAAAAAAATATTTATTATCAAGATGATTCAGAAGTGACACTCTGAGTGAATCAGAAATTAAATAAATTTATAATCCCACTTTGAGTTAAGACATAAATTAATAGTGCAATTTTATGGGAGAAGCCATTGACTCTATAGATTTAATCAAACGCTTATAGTAATATTTTATGTCATAATATTTAAAAAAAACTAGGTACTTTTAAAAACTTCATAATCAAAACTTTTGATGTTTTATTTATTTTAAATTACTTACACATAATACAAAAAAAAATCCGAAATCCCGAAGTTACACTGTCGATGCCACAGAAAAAAGCTAGTAATTTTGTAGTGAGCACCCTCACATTTTTAGAAAATTGTAATCCACTGAACAATCACGATGATAGTGCGTCCTTTTCACATATACACAATTGTGCAAGAGAGATCGCACTATATTAGCTAGTCTCCGTTAACAAACTATAAATAGATAAAGCATTTTAATATGTCTGTTAGTTACCTCCTTCATTAATGTCATCGTAACCGCTCCTTTTACCAAAGTCAGGAGCTACCATAAGCCTGGTCTTGGGCTTAAATATCCTGCGCGGCGCTTCATAGTTATCTAAAGAAATGTGATATGTATGTTATGAATTTGTGTAAAATGTTTGTATGATTGTTCGGTTGAAACCAACATGATTATGTAGAGAATAGACTTGCATTGTGTTACTTATGCAGTATTACAATCTTGTGCAGTAAGGTTACACTAGTATTTTTTTTAAATGAAGTATTCCCTTCCTCCTTTTTCCTCTCTTATTTGCGGTTAACAAAAATATGCATATGATAAGATAGTGCTTTACACTTTTATTAAGGTTTAGTAACTTTTCAAAACAATAGAAACATTTTACGATTGTTGTAGACATAAGTATTTACCAGCAAGCAATTCCACCAACAACAAAAGACGTCTTACCATTGCCTTGACATTCAAATACAAAAGGCCAACCAGTCTTATTGGTGTTAATAGATCTAATATTGTTTTTTTTCTTGTAGTTTGGATATTTTTACGTCATTCAAAACTCATCCAATATGTCAACAAAAATCACTTTAAAACGAACACGTAAATCATAATAGTTAATTATTTTCAGTGACATTCCTGATGATAGGTATTCAACTATATATTTGAAATATAATAAGCTCTCGCTCAATGTAGCAACTGCAGGTTCGACATGAACAGAGAATTCAGAAGCTTCCTTCAAAAGAGTTGTTGCAAACTTTCGAAAACTTTCACCTTCATCCTTTGCGATCTGGTTGCGAGTCAATTTTGTTTGAAACTAATGTAATAATCATAGAAGCGAAAGCAACCAACGAGGCAATATTGAAGGTAAAAACTTTCAAGCGAACATGACTCGTCTAGAAGTAAATTTAATTTATTAAGCAACACATAAAATACCCGTCCGAGGGTTTCCTATCTCAACTTTAAATGGATTTTTATTCGCCCCAACTCAAGCTGGACTGTTTGCCCGTTCTACAGTCTTATTACTGCTTTCCTAGCAAATCGTTCAGTCAAAGCTAGAAAACCGATAACACCTTTCTGTACCTTCCAACTCCGGTTCCGGTGTTCTTTTGCCAAAATCCCTTGCAATACCGACCGTTGGACTCTTAAATGTTGGTGTGCTGCGGCTTACGCGTTCTGATGACGATTGAAGCTCAACATCGCCTTTAGAAATTTCTTTAATTATCTTAGCGTCCTTTTCAACTTCACAAAATACTTATTAAACAATATGATTCTTATCAATCAAATATTTTAATAGCTTTACTTTTTATAATAACTTTAACTTTTACCTTTGGAAATGAGATGATGGTTACCATGATTTTTTATAAAGATTTGTATAATACATTATATAAAATATTACATAATTGTAATCTGCTTTGTAACGTTTCGCTGGGTGTCTTTTTTTAAAAATTCAGTTTAAACGGATACATGATAGCTTCGTGTATCCGTTTAAACCATAATTTTTTTTTTAATAAATTTTACGTTCCATTACCCATTAGCTGTGCAACAACTCATGTTGACAGGGCAAGATGGATGCCCGCCCAGCACAACTTAAAACTCTTTTAAGATTATGACACACTGCATTAATATCGATTTAAAGTTTGAACATTATTGTATGTTAACTTATAAGCACTTAATGTTAACTTTATGAGTTGAGCATACATTTTATAACACAGAGTAATAATAATATGAATTTCATATTTTTCTATTGGACACTTAAAATTAATGAATTAATACATCAAAAGTAATTTTTATTTGCATTTAGTTGTCACAAAACTTAGAAGGCTTTTCAGTTTTTTTGTAGAATTTGTAATTTTAATCGGTTCATGTAGAATTTTATACAATCAAGATGTTTGTTTTATTGAAAGAAACTTACACTTACACTGAAATTGTTCCTCATAACCTTACCTTTTTACTCCTTACCTTACATTTACTCTACTTTAGAGCCGATATTCCATACTACACGATTCAAAATGTAATTTTGACGATAGTTTCCGTACAAGAATATTTTAAACATTCAATTAGAATTATATGCGGTCAGAGCAAATCACAAGTCAATCTCTACGTAACCCTAAAACTGGCATTATTAACATAAACAATAGAGATACTAACAATGATTTACTTCGAAACACTAGTTTAGCATGGAAAAATACATGTTATTTTCTTTAAATGATAGTTTTCGGGAACATACCGGTAACTGATTAAAAGCCCGACTTATCATTGACACACCACACACTACGGACGGTGACGATAAAAATATTCATTGTGTTTCTTTTATAATAACTAGAGAAAATATTGTAACATTGGCCTCTAAAAAATTCTAAAAATTTCCTTTCGACAGGGAATTTTATTTTTACTAAACATGTTTTTAAACACATGTTGTCGATTGACAAACGAAATTTTAATTTCTTACGTAGAAAAATAAAGATTTTTCAATTCATTTCATTTCTTAAAATATACAATGTAAAGATATTTCACTAAGATTTATTTTTCATGTATTCAATACCAATTTTGCTCCCTTATATTCCCCTTGTAAATCCAATTATTCTGAAAATAACACCGAGGGAACCGCTACGAGAATAGGGAAATGCAGGGAGCTGAAAACGAAATTAACCTCTACCTAAATTAATACAAATACAAAGTTAAACAAACAATTGATATTCATTGTTTTTGAAACTCATTTTTATATTTCGATGTTTTACCAGCAGCATTATATTGTACATGTTTGTATAAAATATGTATTTATATGATTGCTATGGCCTAATTGTTAGAGTTACCTATTGGGTTCAAATCTCAGCCGAAGTTAACAAATATCCAAAAATATAAATTGTTAGCTTTTAGTTCCAAATAGTTTTTATGTTGGTAGTACAGTTGTTTGACATCATGCCTTAGGGAGCACCATAAGCGGCACCGCAAAATTATCTAAGGCTCAATTTACATTTCGGTGGATTGGATCGGGACAGAAGCGTCAATCTCAAATCAAATTTTTCCTAGTCGCGCGGAAAGGTGCACGAATTAACGAGAAAAACGAAAAAAATGCTCGAGCATTCCCGCGACTGCACCTTCAAGCTATAGCCGCAATTCAGTTATTTAGTCTAGATCTTTTATTTGACTAGAATAATCGCTCATTTTATCGAATTTCAGGAGAACCTTCATAACCGTGAAGAGGTTTCTTATCTATTGTGGAAATACTTAGGTCACTCAATAAGTTTTCAGATGCACGAAATTTAAAAATGGAACGCACCCGTGTTCTAAGTTTTCTAAAAATCAAATTTATTTAAAAATAGAGCTCCATCAGCCAATTGCTCAATATTAAAAAAAAAACAAAGTTCTATTAATTTTCCTGCAACGCTTCCCGCGCTTTTCATTATTGATATATTATGATTTTTAATTTGGTTTAACCGAACAATTAAGTTTACAACGGTTACATTCAGCATTAGCCGACTCCCCAGCTTCATCACGCGCAATAATTTTTAGGTGGTTTGCTGAATTGAAAAGGGGTAAAATTAATCTCAAAGATGACCAAAGAACCGGGGCCCCGCTTAAATTTATTTAAGTTCTACTAAAGAAAAAAAAGGCAGATTCTGTTTTTTGATAATTATTTCGTCTTCTGATCTGACTTCTTTCGAATTACTCGCGAAAAAAATAGAAGTCACTGAATTTGTTTCGCAAACCTTCTTAAGAGGCCATAGGAAAAATCCATGGCTAGGGGATATCACTGAAGCGGCTTGTCAATTTGTTAGTCATGGCATACACTCTAAATGGACCTCTCCAATATTGTGGAGGATTTACCGATGATTTATCGAGGAGATAACTGAATTAGTCCACCATAGTACGCTAAAATGATCAATTGGGCGGCCACTATAACTCAAAGAACTGACAAGTGATACCGAAGGCTCTTGAGTTGCAGCCTCATACACCTGTAAGGAAAATGTAAGGCGTATGCCCATTAGATGGATTGAGGAAGTCGATGAGTTGAGGTATTTTATGACATTTGTTAGGGTAATCTTATATTTAGCAGTAGATTTGTGAAAGGCTGTAATTATGATGATAATAAAAACTTTTTTCGACTTCGACTAGGAATTTGTCTAGAACGGTGCCATCCCCTTGCCTATTTCCACCAAATAGTCCATTTTTATCCGTATAGGTGATGACACACCTATTCTCTTTTAAAGATAGTTGCAAAACCGTGGGCTGTAAAATTATCTCGGTTGTCACTTCCTGTTATTAAAAACCTGTTCTCTAAAGATGTGATATCAAAACAACAAAGGTTCTAAGTTCATCCCATGTCAATATAAGTTCACGTGTCTTCTATGAACTTTTAGTATCAATGGCTTCAATATCAACGCTCTGGTTTATCAAGAACAATATTCAATAAAATAATGAGATTCGAATTTAGCATTGCGTTGCATTCTCAATAACCATTTATGTTGCTGCTTAATTCCTACCTATTCCAGGTTGCTGCAACGGAAAATAGTCTCTTCTATCTTTCACATTGGCAAACCATAGAAGTGAAAACATTCTTGAAGTGGTACATTCAGATTTATGCAGGCCAATGGAGACGAGATCAATTGGTAAAGCAAAATATTTTCATTTGTTTGTTAATGATGCCAGCAGAATGAGCTTTGTCTACATACATTTGACGGCTCCGTGGCGCAGTGGCTTAGCAATGAATTGCAGCGCTGGGAACCGCGGGTTCGAATCCCGCCCGGAACAAGTATTTGTATGGCCTACAAATAATTGTTCCGGGTCTGGATGTTTATCCTTGTGCAATTTGTGTTAGTAAACTGCCTCCACGATACAGGAGAAAATCCTAGAGTGGGGGTAACGTTTTCTAAATAAATAAAAGAAATAAAAGAGCACAGGCCACCTTCGGACCGGAGGAGAGTAGCCATATACAGGCGTTCCCCTATGTCAAAAATGTTTTTACAGTGGGGAAAATGGGTATTTAAGAAAAAGTTAGAGAGTAATAACGGTGTTAGATTCCGTTCTGGACCAGTAGCAAAAGGCTTTACACAGTAGAAAGGTGTGGACTACAGAGAAACATATTCACCAGTTCTTCGCTATCCAACACTGACACCCTTATTCGCATCGAGTGTAAAATTGGACTTCAAAATCCCCATCTTGATGTAACCACCGCATTTCTTAATGATTTTAAATGAAAATGTGTACATGAAAGTTCTCCCAAAAATTAAATTGAAAGAAAATTTTGTAATAAATAAAATAAAATGGTAATAATCTGCTAGAGCATGGAATAGTAGAGTAAATGATTGTTTAATTGCATTGGGTTATGTAAAGTCGAAGTTAGTACTATGATTGTATAATTTTTTTAAAAAAATGGGCAGTGTATCATTAGTGTGTTTGTGGATGATGTTTTTTTTACTATTAACTAAAAAAAAGAAAGAATAAATGTCACAATTTAAAATTAAAAACTTAGGTCAGCTCCAGGTCAAAAATGTTTTTTTTTTATAGGATAAGGGTGAAAAACGAGCACACAGGCCACCTGATGGTAAGTGGTTGCTGCGGCCCATAGACATCTACATCTATCCTCTGTAACAGATCAAAATGCAGATGCGTTTTCACCCGTGAGGACTAAGATGGAATGCTTCATTTCCAGTAAAAAGGGTCTCCGGCCACCTGCACTCACCAAGCGAAACGCAGAGGTAAACGTCGACTTCACGCTGGTATTCTGTGAGGTCGTGGTACCACCCCGGTTCGAGCCGGCCCATCCGTGCGACAGCAAAAGCTGCCGCCTGGCTCTACCGCTGTTTACATATGCGTGTAAAAATGTATGGAAGTAATTGTATCTTTTTAGATCAGGAACAGTTTGAAGAACAAATTTTAAAGAAAGATTTGAGAAATTTTAAGATGATGAACAAAAAATAATAAAGAAAGTCCAATGGAAAATATTTTAAAATTAGTAAAGTCTGAAACTGTAGATAAACAGTATCCATATCAACAGCTGATATGATAGGCAGCCTTATGTGTTTTGTCAGTGTTAACACGTCCAGATATTTGTTATAGCGTTAGCTATTTAAGTCCGTTTAAGAATTGTTTTAATTCTACTCATTAGAACATTAGAACCATGCTAAACGAATCTTAAAATATTTGAAGAAAACAAAGTCATTTGATTTAATGTTTAAAAAAGATGATAGTAATTTAGAAGGTTTTGTAGATTCTGTCCGGGGTTCTAATACGCAAGATATGAAATCCTACACAGGATTTTGTTTTAAATTATCAGGTAGTCCCATGAATGTAAAAAACAACAAACTGTAGCCTTATCAAGAACCGAAGCTGAGTATATGACGATAGCTGAAACCTGTAAAAAGGCGATATACTTAAAAAAAATTGTCAGAAATTTTAAATCTATTTAATGATACAATAACTACAATATAAAGATAATCAAGCTGCTCAGAAGTTGACAAAATCCCCATTATTCTACAAAAGAACAAAGAACATACATGTTCGACATCATTTTGTTCGAGAAGCTGTTGCTAACAATTTGGTAAAAATTGTTTATCTGCCAACAACACAGGTGCCTGCTGATTACCAAAAGATTACTCCGTGTAAAACATTATTGTTTTGCACAGAAGGTAGGTATGAAGGACGTAGTTTAATTGATGATCGTATCCAACATTCATCATTTATTTTTTGTAAATATCTAGATTATTTTTATAACAGGAGGTGTTAAAATATGTATGAAAATATCCATCTTGTTATAAATCAAAAACAGCTAAGGTCATCTGTTACCATCATCTGTCTTCTTGTGCAACTATTGTGTAACTGTTTAACCTGTGACAATATAATTAAAAAATAAAGTCAGTTCAAGCAGAAGCGTCATGTGCATTTTATTACAAATAACCCCCTCAGCTCAACAAAAGGCAGTTTTTGCGATATTACAGACATTTCAATTTTATTTATGTGTATAAATGTATAAACAAATATATGCATCACTTTAACCTTTTGCCGCTGATATAACACAATAGGGGCTTTTATATTTGACAAAGTTACATTTTTGCGTAGCCTCATTGAGTAGGTATGGATTTCTATCAATATTATCATTTGTAGTAGCTGAAAAAAGTATATAATACGCCTCGAGGGGACATACTATGTACGATATTTCAGTTGTTTAGACCCTCCAAAAAGCGTACCTAACTCATCTCTCCTTGGGGGACGTACTGAATACAGAAAACCATATTCCGGAGCCATGACCGGGAAAATATACATCACAAAAGTTGTAAGTACGTAATATGTACAGCTATTTACAATATTTACAATAACAAAAGTGTAACAACTAAAATTATTATAAAGAACCACTCCTGCTCCTTGACCAAAAATACTCGTTGCGTTCCACTCTGGTGGCTCTAGATGAGAAAGAAATAAATTTTCTACGCGGATAATGTTCCATTAGGAACTTAATCAAACTTTAACTTTACGGACTGGTCTTTACGCCAAATGGCACAAACACATTGCCTCATCTCTCAGTGACTGAGAAAGGGAGACAGAATACCAGCGTAAAATAGCAGCTTAATGCTGCTGTGTTTGGTATGGGAACCGGAGACCCTTTTTACTGGAAAAGAGGCATTCAGTCTTAGTCCTCAAGGCTGACAACACATCTGCATTTTGATTTGCAAACGAGGATAGACGTAGATGTATATCGGCCACAGCAACCACTTACCATCAGGTGGACTATGTGCTCGTTTGTATAAAAATATATAAATTCCTTCGAGGTGCCATAGCTTTTGTATTTACAACAATACATAAAAATATGTTTTTTGTTATGTGACAAAAGTAACTTACGTTCAGCCCGAGCTGAGGGCCTGTCACGCTTCCCAAAACCTCTGGCGGTCATCATTTCCACGTTCTTGAAGCCGCGAGTCGGCCGCTGTTGTTTTCTGGTCAGCCGAGCCTCAGGTGCGCCGTCAGCTAGACACAGACACACGGCCGCCACCACGATGACAACTTGCATTGAGATATTCATGGCTGCAGCCAAAAAAGATTATATTAATTTTGTAGGAATAAGTATAATGTTGGTGTGACAGTTTTTCCTCGGCTTGAGGACTAGGGGCAAGGAAGTCATTTTAATCTTCAATAATAAGTAAAAAGTTATTTTTACTTATTATTGAAGATTGAGTTTAGTTTTAGAGTCAAATCAAAACCTACTCAATTTATTATTGCAACTTGTAAGACATTTAGTTTTAGTTAAATTTTTTATTTAGAACTCGTATGTATTTCGTGGATCATAGGTATTACGAGTACATAAATTTCAGTTACGAATATAAAGTTAAACTATGCCCTACTCTGTGGGCATACGAAGTACAATATTTTGTGTATATTAATTAGAGTAGGTACCTAAAAATACATTTATCAAATATGAATGCAAAGTATACAAAACGATAGTAGATACAGTTTATTTAAATCAATTTTGCTTAAAGCTCGTACAGACGTCAAAATCTACACCGGTTCGCAAATACAAGACCTTCTTTGGGAAGAACGGGAAGAAACTCTGGGCTCGTTTTTAAAGCTTCTTTAACAATGTCATTTACTTTATAATATTAAAAAATAATGCAATATATATTGTGTACTGACGGTGTAAAAATATCCACTACGCCACATCGTCCCGTGGATATCGTAAGAAGCGACAGAGGGAGACAAACCAGGAGATATGCAACAGTATATTTCCAACAACAACATGTTAACAAACTTATTATTTTAATGATAATTATATCACTATATTTCTTTATTTATTCCTCTGTAATGATAATGCCTCTGGAAATCGATATTGTTTAAAAGGCAAAGTATCGATATAAATATCGATACCGCATTTATCTATGACCAATCGTTTTGAGAACTGTCAAAATTGATTTTAGCATTAGTTCATAAGGCATTCGTGTACTAATGCTATTTACAAGAGACTAACTTGTGAAGAATAAATCTGTGTCAATCTTTTAAATCCGCGTTTATTTTATTAATCAAGAAGTGAATTCTACAAACAAGACAACAGAAAATTGTGGTTGCCAAACCGACTTTCTAAGCGTATCAAATATGTCAATTATACCCCTGTGGCTTATGAGGAGATGGTCTATGTTCAGTGGACTTTGATAAGTTGTAATGATGATGATGCCATTGTCAAAGGTCTATAAATATTTTAAAAAAATGTCAGTTTTAACAAAGTAATAAATGCAGAGTAAGATTTAATTTTGCCATCACATCATTATATACAAAAATATTTATGTAACCATAACTTCTGGTTTTTATTATAATGGATTAAAACTTAAGTTTCATAAGGAGCACAGAAAACACTAAACGTAAGTATTATCACGGAAATAGTCTGTTAAATTCATTTAAAGCTATTCTAATTTATCTAAGAAGTGATAGTGATCGCACTCATGGAAATCTGCCTGGCACACATCATCATAAACACGTGGTAGATGATATCACCCCATTGCATTCCATGATTATAAAAAGATGACTTAGGTAAACGTGTACAAGATCTGAATGAATTACGGCTTCCGATATATGGTGGTATCATTTAGTAAAATCCCGTTTAAAATCACTTAGACTACATAAGTGAGATGCTGTTTTTACCGTCAAAAATTGACTCAAAGCTTGTGGAACTGAATGAATAAAATATTCTTTATTATACACCAATAAACAAGAAAACTTATACAAACGACTGACGCTTAGAAGCGATCTCTTCCGGGCAACAAAGGAAATGGTTGAGAATAGATGGAGTGAGAAAGAATATAGAAAAATATATGATAGTATACATACATAGGTAAAATAAAAGTCGCGAGGAAAAGTAGGTAGTAATTTTTAAATAAACGACAAAGTTGAGGGAGGGATAAAGAGATAAAGGATAAAGACTGACAGTATTTTAAAATCTTCAACTCTAATATTTTCCGTCAAAACTTCAATCCTTTTTTGTATTTAAGCTATTTATCCCCCACTGTCATCGTCGTTTTTAATTTTTTTTTGTTTTTAATTGAATTGTATAATTATGCATAACTCTCTCTTCTTTATTATTTCTGAACAAGTTATTTGCGTGAAAAGGTTGTCTGGAATAAATCGCTTTCAAAGCGAAAAGCCTGCTTATTGTACCTTCTTTATGTATTTCATTTCTTAGCGGACTTCCGAAATGGAGGAGCTTTTCACTTCGACAATATGTTACGGAACATATTTCACAAATTGTTAAGTGATTTTAACAATTATCTTTTTACTAGACAGTTTTTTTCTCAGGTTTCTCATATTATTTTAGAGAATAACTTCACCCCTAAGGGTGAAAAATAGGGGAAAACCAGACAATACTTTGTCGGGATCTAATGTAACTATTTTTACATTATAGCTGTTGCTTGTGATGTTCCTAAGTCCACTGAAAATGGTAATAAAGCAAAAGCAGATTTTAAAGAACTATAATAATAAATAAATTTTCACATTATAACTTCTAAAGTCGGGATTTTCATTATTTTTACTCTAGGTCTTAGTACCGACTTCAAAAGCTATTAAGCTATGTGAAAATTACTTTTATTTTTAGTTTCTTGAAGTACTATTACTTTGAAGTTCTGTTCTATTATTTTTAGTTTCTTTTACTTTCTGTTAAAAGTTCAACTTTTGTTTTAGTATAAATTGGTGAATAAAAAAAATATAGTGACGGGAAGCTGCGTGAAAAATTGTAGTCTTTTGCTACAGTGATTACTAAGGGTGGTAATTATAGAAAATATTCCCTGAAAGTGACCTAAAAGTGAACTGTCTACTCTGTTTCTTATAGTTGCATCTAGTTACCTATGATTATCAATTATTAAACGTCTCAAATAGCACATATTTCCTTTTAGCCCGAATAAAGTAGAATATAGAGGTCCACTCGAACATACTTGTTTTATGAGTACCCCGTTAAAACTAATATACGAACCGGCACACCCACGTTTTGTAATACATCTTTGAGCTAACAAGACAGGGGCACGTGCAGCAGTGTTTTATAGGGCAATACTGATCTTTTACCACGTACTTAACACCTCAGGTTACGTTTATCGTCCCCCTGATGTCTTTTTGTTACCTTTGTGAATTTACGCGAAACAGTTTAATGATTTTTCATACTAACGACCCTTTTTATGGCAAAAGCGATAAAGTGTTAACGAATCGGTAGAAAATTGCCTACTCGACTTCTATACCTTGTTTTTGTATCATAGAATAGAAAAAAATAGAGTAGATGAAGATATTTTTATTCAATATAGATTATCACTTATTACTTATTGAAAGTCACTTTTTATTTACCAATAGTTCATATAGTTATTAACTTTGTCTTGGGAAGAACTACAAAAAGTCAGCGAGATTATTTTTTTAAACCTGAATTTTACAATAATACTACAGAATATTTTTATAAATTTAATAGAACTATCATGGTAGCAACCAACTCATACCCAGGGTTTATTTTTGTTCTTGTACTCTTTAATATTATAAAAAGTATCTTATATAGTTTTTGGTTTAATGAAATTTTTAAACTTGTTGATTGACATACATAGAACATTTTCTGAGATTTCGTTGTAATAGTGTACACATTGCCCCATAAATGAATTACTTATTTAGAGTCTAGTAAATGGTATTACCAACTTGTTTCAGTTCATAGTACTTAAAGTATGAATATTTTTGTTCTTATCATAGCTATTTATGTTTTATGTACATATAATATAGTTTACATAAATATGTTGCGAGACTAAATTTAATATATTTGTTTCTTTAAACTTTTCACTAAAGGACTCTTTAAAGTTTATTTATAAATTGCCCCTACGGCCTACTTTTGGAAAACTTTTGAAAATGTAGTTTAAATGCTTGTGCAACATTATGCTTTTTTTATAGGATCGGGTGACAAACGAGCACACAGTCCACCTGATGGTAAGTGGTTACTGTGACCCATAGACATCTACATCTATCCTCAATAAAGACTCAAGATGCAGAAGCGTTGTCACGCGTGAGGATTAAGATGGAATGCCTCTTTGCCAGTAAAAAGGGTCTCCGGTTCTCTACACTCACCATACGAAACACAGCAGCGTTAAGCTGCTATTTTACGTTGGTTTTCTGTGAGAGCGTGGTCCTTCCCCGGTCGAGCCGACCCATTCGTGCTACAACCATAATATAGCTGCAGCATGGCTCTATCACGTAAAAAATAACTAATATAAATAAATCTAGCTATTTCATATCATTTCATCAATTAAGCCACATAGATAGGAATGATTTTCGAATGATAACTACTGACAGGCGCAACGCAAGACGACCCCTCTTCAGTTAACTGATGAGTAATTATTACTGGCAGGTGGCAGAGTACAGAACATGTCTGTGCTAAAATCAGGGAGGCCCGTCATGTTTAGCAGTAGACACGCCTAAAATAGAATTATCCGATATCCACTTCGGTTCACAATTTATTATCTCTACCACTGAAAATTAAAAGTTATATAGCCAAAAATATAATTATGAAAGAGTATCAATTAAAATTTTTCGGAATTTTCAAGATAGATGATAATATTTAATTTTAATATAGTCTTATAAATGTATGTTGATCTGTTAACGTGACCAAGTCCTGTCACCATCATCATTATCATCATTACTAGATGACAACTTTAATGAAGTAAATGAGCAATCGTAGTATTTAGTACTTTACGTTACATATATTAGAAATAAAACATGCGTGAGTATCGTGAAACACTCGATTGATACGAAGTTTCTTTCGTAGTATGTAATTATTGATAAACGTATTATATTATTGATTAACAAATACAAATAAATGAATTACTAGCGTCAATTAAAATGTAGCGTCATTTAAAATGATATTTCTTTCATGGCAAGATAAGAAAAAGTGCTAGGGAGATGGATATTATTCCATCTCGCTCGCACTACAGAAAGGGGGTCATGACGGAAAAATCTTACACTTTTTCTCGTCTAGCCCCCATCCGCCAAATTCGTACCGTGCGATAAGGAACTTCTTTTCAA